GACTATAAAAGACCATAAAACTGGTTAAAACATGGACTACTAGATGAATTTGTTGACTTTTGAACTTTTAATGGTAATAGCTACTCAGAATACATTCGCGCGGACCAACGTTCATGCTTCAATTTTCTCCTGTTTGGAGATTACAGCTTGCTCGAACACATCGATGAAAGAAAATTACATGACTGTGTAATAAAAAAAAATAATAATAAAAAAATAATAATAAACAAATAAAAGGTTTCGTATCATGCATAATTTTGGAAGAAAACTCATTAAAGGCAACTGGGAGTTAGCTTAGTCCGTTCTTTTCTTGTGTCCAATTCAGTTCATAAGAAAGTTGCGATCACTAGAAAACGAAATAAATTTATTTAAAAAAAATAGCTTGCGGGACAAAAATCACAGAAATCGCTAATGGTGTCGAAGTGTTCTTTTAAATTTGTTTCAAACAATATTCATCAAATGTCTATGTCTTTCCAAAGCAGAATAATTTCTTTTTAAATGACAAATGCTCCCTTCCAATGTAAACATAGCTCTTCTCGATTAGGAAGCCATTAATAGGAAACAAGTAACGTTCTACCTTAAAAATATGTCATCTATTATTCCTATGAGCAGATGTTCATATATTTTTAAACTTTAACAAGAGGCTCAAGTAGCCTATACTCATGCGCAGGAGGTTACAACTTGTATAACATAGGTACGGACAAGCAATTTGAAAACCTTTGCCATCCGGCTGACAACTAGAAATAAGACGGGAGAAATGCCAATTTGAAAAAAGTGCATCATAGATCTAAGATACAGATAATGAGGATACAGGAGAGAAGATAAGTGCTGTAACGCAATATGTCATCTTTATTACAAGGATATCGTCAGGCGAATAACAAAGCGAACCGAGTCGAAAAATTATAGAGAGCGAATTAACAAAGGATCAGAATTGCGAATTGGATGAAATATCGTTTTTCATAGAAATTCTGGACCAAATCTATTCAGGCATTTTCTGTTTAAGTGTTAAACTTGTTTATGTTGGCTGTTAGGAATATAATCCAGTACTGGGCCATTGTATCAAATATCAACTTTGCCTTATTTTCATTACCAAGACGCAGAAAAAGAAAAAGAAAAAAAATTAAACACACAAGCGGACTCTATTCGGGCAAAAGTGTTTAACTAGCTGACATTGTTCCTCACATTCTTCTAGACTCCTTAAGTCGAAATCCGATAGGAAATCGAGGAATTTCAGTTTTACTGATGGACAAAAACCTTGTATCAGAATAACTTTAAGTATATTACAATCCATTTTGCATTTTTTAAAAGCTAAATATATAAACATTTGTCTGAAATAACACCAAAAACACTTTCTCATGGGAATTCAAGAAAGTAAATTTCAAAGTTCAGAGAAATTGTCAGGTACGTGTAAAACACAGGTAAAATTTCATCATCAGTTTCATTTCGCAAGTACTTTCAAGTGTTTCATATATTTCTTCAAAATTTGTTTTCAAAATTTGGTGTAGTCAGAAATGATTTCTTTTGAGAATATACTTAAAACAATCGCACAGAAGTTTCCAATACAATGTAAATAATCTCGGTAAAAAGTTTTTGTCCACTTGTTACTCGAACTTTTGGTGGATTCCTTCTTAACACCTAAGCTAGTATATATCAGAACTGAACGACTTTAATCTGCATTTGATAATGGCGACAAGCTAACGCCGAAACGTCTTGTTATAGCATTTATTTTTCTTTTAAATGTTACCCTGTAACCGAATCTCTTTTGGGAATCAAGGGACAAAAGAAACTTGAAAAATTTGCAATTTTGTCCTGAAAGCCTCGGAGCTAGAATATTGATACATGTATATCGAAAGTGGCTTATTACCTTCCCGTTTGGTTAAACACGTCCATTAACACGAACAGAAAGCATTGTTTGAATAAAAGATAAAGTATAAACAGCACGTTCTTGGTAAATGATTCTTCGTAATATATCCTTGAATCTCCAAAACCCTAATAGATTTGAGACTTGTCATATTGTCAGATGGCGATCGACGTAAACAATGGCTTACCTCTCCTGAAACACTTTCTTGCTTTTCATGCATGCTCACAGGCCAGTTGAGAATTTTTTCAACGACCTTAAGCACTGATAGGTACATTCACAGCGTATCAAATTGGGGGAAAACCACAACGTTTGCGGAAAAACAGCACCTGCTTGAAGAATCCAATATGGCGGACGGGGCTCCAAAGAGCGTGATAAATGTTTGCATGCATAAATTTGCATGCACAAATGTCACACCAAAACGGAGAAACGGAGCCCATTTTATAACTCGTGCGCCATACTACCTATGAGTTATTATTCTGCGACATGTTTTCAGAAAATATTTTTATCTTTTAATTATAGTTTCCCTTATATATCGCCGCGCCGTGCTGGTAGTTATAATTGCATATTCTTGGAAGTTAATTCTAACGGGTCGTTTGTCTTTGAAGAGAGCTCCGGTGTTTATCAAGTATAAGAGACAAAGAAAGGGATATACTTCGTATACATATATCACCGTGGCAAAAGATTTGGTCTTGGAATAATCGTGAAGAGCACCCCAAAGGTGCATTTTTTTAGCCCGTTTATAATTTGGATTTTTTTTTTTTTTTGCTGACAAATATAGTTAGGTTGCAGATTTCAAAGCATGTTTAGTATTTTTGGATATATTTCGTACACGAAACTATGGTCTAGATGCTGAAGACTTCTTTGTAAGTATTTTCTTGTAAAAAAGTAAAGTCTGCAGAACTTCATGCAAACTTACTGACGAATTACCAGGATCAGTCTGATATTAAACCTGAAGATTTATCTTAAGAACCGCTCACATTGAACGCTTGTTGATGAAGCATTCATGACATTTTCTTCGAAAAAAAAAATCCATTGTTTGGTGTTTTCTTTTACTTAATTAACATGGTTCATTTTATATGCAAACCCAGTCATTTTGTAATTTCTTTCTGTCATACCTGGGTTACTTATTCACTGTAGAAAAACTACAGTATATTTGTTACTTTGTCATCTTGCATCTCAGGGTGTCTAGCGTAGCTGTTTCCTGTTTAATATGAATTTAATCCACACCGCTGTGTGCTCATTAATTTTACTTTTCATTCTAGTGAAAATATAACGCCACTGAGTAGCAAATTTCAAAATCGTTTAATATTTGATGTTTTTTAAAAAAGAAAATCACATGCTTAACTCGGCTCATTTTGATTTCACATCAAGATAAATGAATCAAAGAGAGCTAAAACTGAAATGCAATGTTTCGTTTACTGATGTTCATTATATTAAATTATGTTGGAATCATTATGTTAATTTTGGTAGCTCATATACACCTTTTATTGACTTTGTATCAACCGATCTGCTTGCGAAGGGAAAGCTGTATATTGGTATAGGTACGGGCGCACTCTATTAGTTTGGCGAAATACCTGAAAGACATTTGCACGTTTCTTGGAACCATCATAACTCGCTTACAGACCAAGTTGTATCTTAGAATAAAATTTGTTCAAGACAACTGAAGGTTTCCCAAGAAGTGAAATTCCGCATATATATTGCAATTTTACATTGGAGAGCTGACAACTAATAACAGACACCACTTCATTCGATCCCAGGTGGGAAATCCAACAGATGATCAGGGTGACGAGCTCAGTCAGGATGCTTTAAGGTCAATAATATTACCCGTGGCGTGAGAAATAAATTCAATTTACAGGTGGATTATTATAACCAAATTGATTTTTTGTAAAAAAAATATATATATATATAGAAACCGGTTCTCTTTTCCCTATTGTTAAATTGATTTCAAGCTACTATTTTATGTCTTCTGAAAGTTCCCGCAATAAGAAACCGAATAAAGAAATCTCTTCAAAGGTAGTGTAGTATTGTATAATCTCAACAAACAAATATTACAATATGCTATAAATAATTTCAAACTGGCTCTTTGTATTTTTAATGTTTTTCGAGGTGGATATCTCACGCAATAGGAAATTGCTTTTCTATGATAAAACTTGAAGGAGATAAACTACTGGAAAACTGGAAAAAAATATTGAAATCGGTGCACAATTCGCGGCCAATCGATTTCGTTACCAAAATAAAAGAATATAATGTCAGTCAGGGTCTGACTGTAAAGCCTTATCAACTGACCAGCGAAAATGTTTTGTTTGCAGATTAAAAGCGGCAAAAAAATAATAATAATAATAACTATTTGATTATTCGAAGTTGTCTTTGCAGTTTAATTTGCACTGTGTGACAATAAATCATGCAATTGACACATTGTAATCTTAATTTTTTAACAACGAACTTTCGAATTTTTATGTCACAGTTGTGTTATTACGTGGGTGTTTTCAAATGCAAAAGGAAATCTCTAAGAGTATTTGCAGAAGAGGCAGAAAATCATAACATGGCAGGTCGCAAAAATTTTGATTGTTTTGACCTATTCCTAATACGCTTTCTCATCAGATAAACTTCAAGTGCATAGCCTTTTAAGTTCTTCTGCTTTGTGTTTTAGCATATAATATACACAAAAGTAAGTGGATTGAGTGGCTTCGCTTGCTTAAAAAAAAAAGGGGGAATTCAGCATTATAGAAATGCTATCATGTAGCACCATCAGATCCCTTTTTTTTTAATCATATGTATTACTTAAAAAAGTCGCTTGATAACACCCTTGCTTTGCATAAGTTCGTTGTTAATAAAATGAAATAAAATAGATAATAAAATAAAAAAGTATTAATTTTTATAAAATTAACTTTAGTGAACATACTATAAACACTCCAGTGCATAAAAACCTTAATTTCTGGTGTGCAAAGCATGGCTTGGAATTCCGTTCAAGCATTTTGCGATGATCTTTCATTTAGTTTCTCATTCTCATACTGTTTCAAAATATTTTAAATCATTTCAAATATCGATTTACTTGCTTCACAGCAGTTTATGTTAAATAAAGAACTCAATATAAACTTTTCAAAATATCTCAAAACATCGAAAGCTCACGAACATGGGAAAACAAAGGTGATAATGAGTTCCTGCATGCATTAGGCCTAAAAAACAAACACAATCAAGCCGCAATCTCCTATGTGGGGGCGGTTTTTAAAATGAAATCCTAAAACCAAAGTACTCACAAAGTAATCGCAAAGTATAGGGGAAATCTGAGTGAACCGGTCAAAACTCAAAAAAATTGCATGTATCTGATCTAGCATAGAACTCGATAAAACGTGTGCAAATGTCTCGATTGATTGATTGCATCTTTACCCAGTTACGCAGATTAGCGATGCAAAACCAAGGCGTTTCTCTATTTCCAACTCAGGATTCGCGTTAAGCGTCAATGGGTCAGATGAATACAAGCTACGTCAGGAGCTTTTAAGGAACATGGACGTTATGGTTCGCCCAGTCACATCAAGCTCTGATGCTGTAAATGTGTCTTTTTCTCTGACAGTTTGGGCGTTGGTGGATTTGGTATGTCGTTTTTTAACATTTGATATGTTAACAATACTTCCAGCCTCTGATCCACGACCTATTGTGTCTGCCGATCTTTTTTGCCTCTTTCTGTCTGCTTGTTAGTGTGTCTGTCGTTTGGGATCGTCACGCGATGCTCCGTAGGAGACTAATTGCCACATGGAAGTGGTTCACAGCTTTTGGCCAATATAAATTGAGAGTAAACTCAATAATTCAATAACTCAGCTGTTTATCTTACTGGAAAGCAAGCGCCAAATGCTCTTAACAAGTGTCTGGATTTCACGGGATTGTTCATAAACTTCATGGAATATAAAACTCGAGTTCTACTCAGCCTTATTTAGCGACTGAATGCACACTTTTGCCTTTGATTTAACCTGCCTCTGATTTTACCTAAAAGCAGTTAATTGTGTGGCATAATAATAATAGACCTCTTTTTGGTCATTAATACACTTGCAGAAGTGGAACAACCCCTTCCTCGTATGGGACAAAGACAAGTATGGAGGTATCGATAGAATCCATGTCAGCCCAAAAGAAATTTGGGTTCCAGATATCGTCCTCTACAATAAGTAAGTAGGACTGAAGTAACTCTACAGGCGGGCGGACTAACCGGCTGATAATAGTGATAAAATCTTCATTTATCTTGGTCTTCATTACACAGTTAAGTATTCTTCTGCAAAGCCGTGAAAATTACAAAAAAAAAAACAAAACATACGTGATGAAGACTTTTTTAACGACTTTCATATACAGATAAAGTCATGCTTGTATTGAAGTGCTGCTAACAATCTATCTTTCCACCTCTTCTTTGTTTTTGCTTTGTAGTGGAGATAAACAGGTTCTCCAAGCAGGCCACACTGAAATTTTCAAGAACTGGGTAGTACTCAACAGCAATGGTTCATGCATCTGGGACTCTCCAGCAAATAATGAAAGCAGATGTAATGTTGAAATCAGCTCGTTTCCTTTCGACGAGCAGGAGTGTTCCCTTCTCTTTGGATCTGCCACGTACGGAAGCGAGTTGCTCCGCATTCATTCCATGCATCCGGGAGGTATGGACCAAAAATATTTTGCAAGTGAATATACGAAAGATCATATATTTGAACTGCGAAGAAAGATATCAAAGCATGATTGATCATCGAAATTATACACACAACTTAAGCAGTTGTGAAATTAAAGCCTGAAAAAAAATAATAAATAAATAAAATGAAATGAAATGAAATAAAATAAAATAAAATAAAATAAAATAAAATAAAATAAAATAAAATAAAATGAATTAAAATAAATTAAAATAAATTAAAATTCAGGCCTGAACGGGATTCGAACCCATGACCTCTGCGACACTGGTGCAGTGCTCTACCAACTGAGTTATCAAGCCAACTGGGAGCTGGTCACGTTGTGAGTTCAAATCCGGCTTTAATTAAGTAATAACTGAGATGATCAATCATGTCTTGATAAAAATAATTTGTTACACCACATACAGAAGAACAAAAGTTAATCAGCCTACAATAATTTTGAGGGTTTGATGATTTGAATTGACGGTTTATATAGAGATGACTAGCTCCAGTGCACATCTTTGTTGTTTTCAGTTGTAATACTGTTCCACATTTATACATGAGGATTTTATTTCTTTATGCTCTTGACTGTTTCTTGTATATTATCACCTCTTTTAACCTGCCTTGGTGGGAGGGAACGGGAAGGGGGCAAGGATCGAGCCATTCAGGAGCCCACTCCTTCCCTCGTCTCTACGCCCTGAGCTTGATAAGAAAACTTTCGTTTTTTTGTTTCAGATGAATGCAAGCAAACGAAAGAAACACTCCATGACAATAATGGAGAATGGGAAATTGAATGCCTCAACGAAACAATGTACGTCTCGGCAATGAAGCAAAGAGCGAATTCGGCCCAAAAATACTCGTTTGCCAAATACACGCTGACAATCAAGCGAAAACCATTGTACTACATCATGTTGCTGATTGTTCCTTGTGTGCTTTGCACCTTGCTGGTTCTCATCAGTTTTGCCATTCCTCCCGAAAATGGAGAGAGAATCGGCTTCTGTGCTACCATTATGATCTCAATCAGCGTTTATTTGCTCATAATGGCCGAAATGCTTATAGAAAAGTCGGACACGCTACCTTCCCTCGGCATTTGTTACATCATTACGATGGTCGAGATAGCTGCAGCACTGATGGGCACCATTCTTGTGTTAAGGGTGTACCATTCAGTAAGCGGGCCGCCTGCGCACTCTGGCTCACACTGAATTAGATGTCGACATTAATTCGTTGTGGAGTTCCCGCTCGCAGGTTTACGTTGGTCTCGGCCAAATTCCTTAACTGGGGCGATCATAGAAACTCGATTCGTGGCCTCGTTCGCAGCCAGCC